TATTGGTTTATAAAAGTTATGCACTTGTAGGGTGAGCTTAAAATCTATTTGGTAGAGATAATGATTAGTTTAGTATCTTAGTCATTAGAGCTAGCTTAGTAGCTTAGCATATGTATTCTTATTTTAAGAGTTGTTGTTGCCAAAATATTAAGTGTTGCATCATCATTGCATGCATGTAGAGAACGAGTTGGTGGAGTTCGTGACCGCCAAGAGCAGGAGTACATGTGGAGGTGATCGAGGAGTATGAGGAGGAGATTCTCATACAGGAGAAAGCCCCACAGCCACCGACGACTGACATAGCTGACAATCCGCCTGCCCATGGCAAGCCCCGGTGCATAACCCTTATTTTGAATAATCACTGGATATATATATGTGATGTGCATTTACGTTATAGGATTTATATTGAAACCATATGCATAGATAAACCTACCTATGAGTCCTACTAGCATAGGTCGAGAAGCTGCTATGCTTAGGCTATCGGTAGCGTGAGTAACCTACCGTTACTCACAATAGGTGATTATTATTATTACTCTCATGATAAAATTGTGAAAGAAAATGGAGACCGGGCAGGGATATGGTACGGGTATTGGTGGGTGTAATAGGTTGTGTCCCACGGCCAACGGGGCATAGCTTGGCTACACTATTTTTCCTGTCCGTGTCGGTTAAGGACCATCCGTTGTTGTGGATAATAGTCAGGTCACGAACTTATTATCCTGAGCACATACTTGCTTATGGGAGCGGGAAGGCTCGTTGCTCTCTTGTCATGGGTTTCGGCTCTTTTCGGACCGACCGATTGGAGGCGGGGATGGTGGAAGTCTAAGCATCACACTGAGTCCGGGACTCAGGAGTGGGGGCTTGGAGCCCAAGTTTAGACAGGGACCTGGACCCCTTGATAGGAGAGTGGTGGGTTGGTCTTGCTTATGCCTGGGGTACAAGCGGGGCGTGTGTTTAGGGGTACCCAGCTGGGATATATTGGTTCATAAATCGCCGTGTGATACGGCTACGACTTGGCTATGGTCTAGCACCGTAGTAATAATTGGAAGATGAAAGATGGTGAAATGGATCTGATTGCTCAACTCTTGCTTGAAAGTAGAAACAGGTGCTTACATAGAATGGATAGCCAATGAACTAATCATGACTGCTAATAAAACATATACATAATGATTCACTACTAGTAATGCTTTTCATAAAAAGGAAACCCAGCAAACCATAAAGCTTATCATATTCTTTGGAGTCGGAAAATTATTCTCACTAGTCGGGTAAGTCTTGCGAGTACATTGTGTACTCAGGGTTTATTTACCCCTGTTGTAGGTGCAGCTTGAGGAGTGACTGTTGTGTGGAGGATTCTTCTGGTGGGTACAGACGGATCCTTGTATCTTATCGTTAGATGTTTATTTCAATTCTGCTGTTTAAATTCCGCACTCTGAACTTGGTATTGTAATAATGTATTTTCGAGAACTCTTGTTGTATGAAATGGACTAAGTATTGTAAACTCGTTCTCATTATTGGATTCTGGGTGTAAAATATGGATTGTTCGAGTTCTCCCTTGGGGTGTGCTCGACGGAACTATCCGATGTAGCCAACTTTCGAGTGCTTAGAGTCTAGCGGAAGACGAGCACCTCCGAAGGTGTGTTATTTTGGGCTGTTTTGCCACATCTAAACATGTCTAGGACTTCTAAGTTGATGTCCACCGGTCGGAGTCCTGTGGCAGCATGGGCTAGTTTATCGCTTTAGTTTTATATTGTTGTTGAGCAAGACTATGTGACAATAATGTAATGTAATGAATTATCGATGTAATAAAGTACTTTACTTTGATATTATGCAATTTGGTATTATATGTGTGTTTGGACATCCTGGGCACACATATGTTTTGTTATTCAAAACTGGGTGCGACATTGAGCACCTTGGGGATGTGTTGCGCTTGAGTTGTGCTTGACTTTGACCCTCTATCTCTCTTGTGCGTGTTGAGTTTGCATTCATAGTGGGAGAGCGATCACTAGTACATTGTTGTGTGAGATTGCAAGTATTGGCACTAGGTGATCGAGTTGCTAAGCTGGTGGTGCTTGTTACTCTTGGAGGTTGCCACCTCCTAGATGGCTTGGTGGTGTGGTCTCTATCATGAAGCCCCACAAGAAGCTTGTGTGGTGCTCTGGAGAAGTGTTTTGTGAGGGGTGTTGTGCTCACCTCGTGAGAGACGTGAAGAGCAACTCTAATTGAGCGAGACGTGAAGAGCGTCAAGTGGTCCTACCGGGTCGAGTGCTAGAGCTTGTGGTGAGCACTCCACGTGGGAGAGTGTGACTTGAGGGTCACCACTAGCAAGAGGATGGAGGCAACCTTGAGCTTGTCTCACGAGGATTAAGTGGTTGGCAAGCCACCGAACCTCGGGATATAAATCACCGTGTCATCATCTTCCCATTGGCTTACAATCTCCATACACAAGTTTGTATTTACTTGTTCATATATTGTGCTTGTGTTGCTGCTCCTCTGTAGCTAGTTTGCTTGTGTAGCATAGAAATAGCTCCCTTGAGTAACTAGTTGGCTTGTGTAGCCTTGCTAGTTACATTGCTTAGTTTGTGTATCTAAGTAATTTGAGCTATCTAGTTTGGCTTGAGTAGCCTTGCTATTGAGTAGTGCTAGTGAGCTTAGGCTTTGTGTGCTTTGCATACTAGCATATGTAGGAGCTCCCCGGTTACTTAATTAAATACTAGTTGCATAGGTTTATGTGACCTTGCAAACTAGAATTGTTTAGGTGAGCTCTACCAAGCCCGATACCTTAGTTTCTCAATTAGGATCTCTTTGTAAGGTGCTTGTGAACTTAGATAGAGGGGTGTAGTCTTGATTAGATCAAATAAGTTTTAATTCCGCATTGTTTCGGTTAGCCAACGCAATTAGCTTTAGAAAGGACTATTCACCCCCTTTAGTCCGCCATCTCGACCTATCAACTTAGGCTAATGCTAAAGACATGGCTTTCTTGAACACCCTTAACGAGGAGCAGCAGGCTACCTATGATGAGGTTATGTCTACTATTAATATCAAACATGGGGTTCATTCTTTTTGGATGGGCCTAGAGGCACCGGGAAGACTTAGCTGTACAGGGCCCTGCTCGTGACTATACGTAGCAAGAACAAGATGTTCTAACATCATCTACATCTAGTTTCATAGCCTCAATAATGCCTGGTGGCAGAACCGTGCACTCACGCTTCAAGATTCCCCTTGCCATCGGTGATGGCACTTTTTTTTAGCTTCACAAAACAAGAGTGGTACTGTCAAACTACATTGATACATCTCTCAGTATTTGGGATGAGGCGACCGTGACAAAGAGGCAACTATGGTCTTTAGGACTAACCTTTGCTTCTGTATTGTGGGAAGACTATGGTCTTCCGTGGAGGTTTTAGGCAAATTCTCTTTGTTGTTCAAAGGGGGTCGAGGGCTTAGATAATCGGTGCCTCGCTACGGATGTCATACCTTTGGAATTCCATACAACACTTGAAACTGGTGCACAACATGAGGGCAAAGAGCAACCCATGGTTTGCAGAATACCTGCTACGCACGGTGGAGGCTCTGAAGAGGCCAATGGTGATGTTGAAATCTGTCTTCCTCGTGATATATGCGTATTGCACATCAAAAACGATAGTGATCTTGATGTGCTAATTGATTGTATATTGGTTCAATGAAAATATGTCAGACAAAAACTACATCGCCTCGCAAGCGATATTATCTACGCTAAATGATTGTGTTGATGTCATTAACATGAAGATGATAGGTCATTTTCATAGGGAACAAAATGGTGTATCATAGCTTTAACTGTGCGGTAGACAATCCGCATAACTACTATCCTCAAGAATTTCTTAACACTTTGACACCCCAATGCAAATATACAAGAGATAAAGAAATTATAAAAGTGGTTGGAGTTATTTATAAATAGTTTGGGATGACGGGATTCCTTTTGCAAAATTGACTTCAATATTTTAGGCGTGAGATTTTGAAAACTGCTAGAGGAACACAACAAATATGCTCTCAATATTTTTTAGCCACTTGGAAAATTCATTGATTTACCATTGTTATTCTTGAGAACGATTGGAGATGCTCTAACTAAGTTGCTGGAACCTGACTGGAGTTCCTTTTTTTCCTTAATTAATTGAAACACTCTTTTCTCGTAAAATAAATTGGAGAGCTAATGTGCTCCTTGTATCCAAATCCAACCGATGCTGGCATCTACTCTAGAATTTGTCTTGAAATGCAGTAGTTTCGCGTAAGAATGTTTCAGTTCTTTTTAGGGCCTATTGGATATCCAGAGCTAATTGGTATCTAACTAAAACTTAGCTAAAATTTGTCCTAACCTATCCAAACAGCAGCGCTAAGAAGTGTGCCAATTTTTTAAGCCTCCAGGGCTCTAATTTTTTAGCCAAGCCTCCAAGGCTCTAACTAATTTGTAGTCAATTAGCTGATCGACTTATGCTAATTTGAACTAAGTTTTAGTCTCAACTAATAACTAACACTGTCTTACCAAACATGCCTTTAGGAGCAAATAATTGTCCAACTTGAAATGAGCATGCAAGCTTCATGAAAGAAATATCGAGACCTGCACTCCTTGTCCTGTCTTTGGGGAACCTTTGATTTTTTTTTTTTTAAAAAAAGGCTGTGCGCGCTTCATGAATAATAATAAAGAGCTAGAACCTGAACCAACCATTTGTTCCCGCCTACAAAATATGTGGCTTAGAACATTTCATCGTAAGAAAAGAAAGAAGAAATCACAGCAATCGTGTGAGAAAGAAAGAAAAGGAAAATCAGAGAGAGGGAGAAAAGATACGGCGAAAACCGTGCGGCTAGATTGGGCTCCCTCACACATGGCGCACGGCGATTAGAAGCCCCGGATTATCTGTCACCGCTCGCAATCCCCACTGCCATGTCACCACGCGCCGGCCGCAAGCCACAGGCCGCAGCATATACACCTCCTCCCAGAACGAGAGCTCGCTCCCGCCGCCCAGTCCTCGCCACCAATGGCCTCCTCCGCCATGGAGCTCTCGCTCCTCAACCCCGCCGCGACGCACCGCCACAGCGGGGGCCTCGCCGCCGCCGGCCTGCCCCTCGCGCCGCGGCGCTCCGTGGTCCGCTGCCGCGGGTCCGCCTCCGCCGCGGCCGCCGCGCCGCCCAGGTCCTCGGGCCCCAAGAAGCGGGGCAAGACGGAGATCCAGGAGACGCTGCTCACGCCCCGCTTCTACACCACCGACTTCGACGAGATGGAGCGCCTCTTCAATGCCGAGATCAACAAGCAGCTCAACCAGGCGGAGTTCGACGCGCTGCTGCAGGAGTTCAAGACGGACTACAACCAGACCCACTTCGTGCGCAACCCCGAGTTCAAGGCCGCCGCCGACAAGATGGAGGGCCCGCTCCGCCAGATCTTTGTCGAGTTCCTCGAGCGCTCCTGCACCGCTGAGTTCTCCGGATTCCTCCTCTACAAGGAGCTCGGTCGCAGGCTCAAGGTTCTTTCCTGCTTCTTCCTTTGCTTGCCTCGTCTCGTCTCGTGCATTTCCTCGACCACCTGGTGGGCGTGTGCTGATGCCCTGCTTTTCCTCTGCAGAAAACCAACCCGGTCGTGGCGGAGATCTTCTCGCTCATGTCTAGGGACGAGGCGCGCCATGCTGGGTACGCACCTTATCTCTTTTCATTCATCCTACACAACAATGCGTGCAATTAGTAGCCAAAAAATGCATTCTTATCTTATAAAGATTAGGAAATGTAATTGTCTGTCCGTCTCATGAAAACTTATGCCGGTGCTTCTACCTCATGAAAAATGCATTCTAAGTTTGCAGACATAATTGAAACGAGCCTGGTTAGTGGTTACATGAGCAAACAAAATACTCATTTTCAATGAGGTACTAGTCAGTAGTAGTAGTTAGGTCAATTGATGAGGGCATGGAGAAATTCAGCTGAAAGTTTCTTGTGATTTGCGCTGTCTAGGTTCTTGAACAAAGGGCTGTCTGACTTCAACTTGGCACTGGACCTGGGGTTCTTGACCAAGGCTAGGAAGTACACCTTCTTCAAGCCCAAGTTCATCTTCTATGCCACCTACCTGTCTGAGAAGATTGGGTACTGGAGGTACATCACCATCTTCAGGCACCTCAAGGCGAACCCAGAGTACCAGGTGTACCCCATCTTCAAGTACTTCGAGAACTGGTGCCAGGATGAGAACAGGCACGGTGACTTCTTCTCTGCCCTGCTCAAGGCTCAGCCGCAGTTCCTCAATGACTGGAAGGCAAAGCTCTGGTCACGGTTCTTCTGCCTCTCGGTAATTTCGAGCTACTCTTTTGTTATATAGATCGATTAACTCCAAACTTCGTTTTGCCTCACTCCTGATAGTTGTGTTACGTGACCTTTTGCAGGTGTATGTGACCATGTACCTGAATGACTGCCAACGCACTGCGTTCTATGAGGGAATTGGTCTGAACACCAAAGAATTTGACATGCATGTGATCATTGAGGTATAAATGAGTTTATCATTTCATTTCCACCTGTTTACTATATTTCATACTTTTTTCTGCACAATGCTGAATATCACAATAATGTCCTTACAAAAGATTAGGAATACACATGAAGTTTGTTATAGTTCATCGATGTTTAGGAGAATCTATGAATTGCTTCTAGAAATGTTGGTGTGAATTAAGGCTGCTACTTTTTTTTCGAACAGAATTAAGGCTGCTACTGACAATGTAAAAACATGCATACCTGTGCAGACCAACCGCACGACAGCGAGGATCTTCCCCGCTGTTCTGGATGTTGAGAACCCTGAATTCAAGAGGAAGCTTGACAGGATGGTTGTGATCAACCAGAAGATCATTGCTATCGGAGAATCTGATGACATTCCCCTAGTGAAGAACCTGAAGAGGATTCCTCTCATTGCCGCTCTGGTGTCTGAGATCATTGCCGCATACCTCATGCCCCCCATCGAGTCTGGCTCAGTTGATTTTGCTGAATTTGAGCCCCAGCTTGTTTACTGATTCTGTAGAAAGATTTGTCTTCGAATTATTCACCCCGAAAGACAAGTTGGTGCTTTCTCCCTAAGGCTTGAATGGTGAAAGCGCTGGATGGTTAGAGGATCTGCATCTTCTTGTGTTCGCCTGTAAAATACTGAGACTTCGGCAACATAAAGCTTGGCAAGTTTTTGTTGTGTGGTATCTCCATGTAAGTGACAGTGAACTGCATCAGAAGCAAGCGTTTCATTTTTCCAACAGAAGGGAGCGTCCGAAGTTGTTGTACTGCTAATGAAGCAAAAGCATACAGACCTTTATTTGATCAACTGTATCACATATGGCCTCGGTGCAGTTACTTATCAACCATGGAACGTCGAACTAGCATGATGAATGTATCCAGCACATTTATTTGATTGTGTAACACTAGAAAACCATTTAACAGCGTTTGGAGGCTGTAGCATGTGAATTTACATATCTCCTTTTATTTTAGCAATGTCATGCATCATAAGTGACAATTATCTATAAGCATTTGTAAGAAAATCGTGGTAGAAGATTGTCGATACTAACACAGTCTACCCTCTTATCTCCTTTCATCATAATCATACTCTGAGATTTATGCGGAAACTCTACCATTTGCATTGTTAAACCACACATATTTTTTTTAAAAAAAACTGGTTAAAATGCATATGTTTAATGTAACAAAATTGAATTGATATACATGATATAAGAGTGTCCGTCCAATGGCACTTGTATATTGCTTTTGAGGCTATAGTCACCGTTTCTTGCAACTTTTTGGGTATATATAAGAGAGATATATGGCCCTATTAGACAATGCTCTAGCCTTGAAATCTATGCCTGATTGATCTTTGTAAAATAACAATAAAACGATTAAGGCTTATGTGTGTTAGTCTAAAATAATGCAAAAATTGCTCAATGAAATACCTTTAATATTGCGTGCATGGAACCAGTTCCAAAAATTTGTAGAAATTACTAAACTAGGATGAGTAATTCTAGGAAAACCCTGAGATTGAGGATGCAAAGCATCCCCATCAAGCTCGTTCGGTTGTATGGGATTGATTCCTGGTCGGACCGTTTCTTCACTAATTTCTATAACGCCGGAATTGTTCCTCGCGCGGAATGACCTGTTTCGGGGTAACCGAACGGAGCCTAAAGGGGAAAGGAAGTCAGCACTCCTTTTGTTAGCTAGTGAGTTCATATTGTGGCCCCGTTCGCTTCGCTGAAAAAATAAGCCAAAACACTGTTCCGGCTGATTTGTTGTGGGAGAAAAACACTATTCCGGCTAAAAAAATAAGCTGAAAAAAACGAATTATAAGAGAAGCGAACAGGGCACCTGTAATTCTATGATATGGTACCTTCTAATAAAAAAATGATACGGTACCTTCAACAAAGAAGACGCCAACAATCAAAGTGCATTTTCTAAATTAAGAGAGCGGAAAAAGGGGAAGGGATAGACAACTAACGAGATATTTCTAGATTTGGAGCGAAAAAAGGGGAAGGTAGACAATGTATGAAGAAAAAAAAATCAAGACGCACCAAATTTAATGACCTCTTCGTCTCCGATTGAAACTTCAACTTTGACGAGCTCTACACAGTGTTCTGATTAAAATTTGAAGTTACGACATGGAATGAAGGTTTTGTGCCTGCTAAGTCTAATAAGGCCCTCCACAACGGAGATGGTTGAACTAAGATAAATGGATCCCACGCGTGATAATGGGAATCACTTCATGTTGCAATGGAAGGCATCACTAGTGTGTCCAGGCCTGAGTGTGTCCAGCATGTTCAGCCTTTTCTCTCCGGGGCTCAGCACTACGTGTCTCTCTTTTCTCTCTCTACCTCATGCAAACATATATTTTTTATTAAGTGCTTGAACTTGCTCCGCTCCCCATCTGCTAGCATTGGGCATCGGTACCTGCACCGTAGAGAGTAGTGCTCCAACCTTCTGCCTCTGTTTCAAGGGCTACTCCTAAAACACACTGCAGAGGGTCTAAGGGGAAGGTTAGGCCTTCCACAACGTGTTATTTGAGTGATACTAAAAGATGGAGGAGGAAGTTTGGGCATCGCTCTATACACTGCAAGAGGAGATGCCAACTTTTAGGGCCTGTTTGGAATGGAGAAACACAAAACATAGGAATAAGAAAAAACGCAGGAACAAGAAAACACAGGAATTGAATTTCATAGGAGTTGTGTTTGGAACACAGGAATTGAAATATCTCAGGAATTTGAGGGAATTAGAAATAAATCTAAGTGCTTAGACTAATGCACAGTATTCTTTCTTATAATTAGAGATTAGTAGAGATCAGACCAAGTAGGTCCAACAGATGGAGTGGATCCACATGCCAGTTGTGATTTTCTTTGCTCTCGTCCACTCATTTCTTGTCTTTTTTTAATGCCTCATTTCTTATCCTCTCGTCGCAGAGACGAGAATAAGATGGCAGCAAGCCAACAACAAGTCCTTTTGCTTCTCCATGATTGCTGCTCCTTTCTTGCATCTCTCTTACCTTGAGCCTCTTACGCGTGAGTGACGGCTGCTGTTTGCAAGCTGTGGCCATGGCCACTGCTCCTCCTGGCTTGTCCGTGAGCGGCGTGGCGGCGGCGGCACTGATGCTGTACAACCAGCGCGGGGAGACAATGCGGCCGGGCATCCAACCAAGCGCGGGAAGGAGCTACTGACGCGCAGCGGTCTGCCGTTGGCTTCGGATGCGATTGGGGAGGAAGATGCAAGCAAACAAGGTACTGCTAATGAGGCTCCTCAAGTGATATTAACAAGGTCGTAAGTCCATCCTTCACGCGCAAGAAATTTTCCAACGGATCGAGGCGGATGTTTTATTTCCTCTACTTTGCATAGGAAAGGAAGCCTTTCCAGAGGAAAGGGATGACGAATTCCTCCATTCCAAACACAGGGTGACATAAGCAAAATGAAGGAATCTCGTTCCTTTGAAATTCCTATGGAAAAACTCCAATCCAAGTGCCAGAAAATGTGGGAACAGGGCAAGTAGTTGCCTCGGTGCTTGATTGATTAAAAACTATTGATCTTTGTACATGCATGGCAGAACCTGAGCACGTCCGTCCTATTTGAGCTAGCACAAATACTATTTTTTTATTTGAACATGTATTGTTTGAGGTAGCACACAAGAGATAGCTTCGGTTCCTTTTACTCTGTACACTGCAGCCTAATATTGTGGAGGGCCTTAGGGCACCTGTATAGAAGCATGCTTATTTTGTTCAAAATATCACAGTGTATAGGAACGGCCTCCATCATTGAGGTGTGGATCCACAACAAGAAATTAGAATGCTACATTCCCCATTACAGCTACAATGCCTGAGGGGAGTAGAAAGATTGAGAGAGAGAATAATATATTTTATTTGATGGGAGCAGGTTCCATCTATAAATAGGAGCTGGTCCGTTGTTTTGGAGTATAGGAGCGACGTGCGCAATGTATTGGCACCAGATCCTTTTGTTATAGAACCATGGCAAATGAGCACACTGTGGACGCTCTTAGGGAGGCTACAACCACGTGGTGGTGACAGGTGGCATGCAAGACGACGAGAGAGCAACAACGTGCTGGTGAAGGATGCATGATGTTGTTTGCTCGGCGCTAGCGGTGGTGTAGAAGGAGGTGATGAGGGAGGTACTTGCTAGCAAAGGTAAGGGTGGCGATGCAGAGCGCATAGTGGTGCAAGATGGGTGGAGGAAGTCTATTTTTGTAATGTATAAGATAAACAAATTAGCACAAAAGATGTAGGCTACTAGGGTGTCCAAAGTGGGCGTCTCCTTTTTCTCTACACCTAAAAAACTATAACATTATCGTTTACTTGGTGATATCAAGTCTTGTTTCTTGCTCACGCATCCGTGCCCGATACAAATGATCCTCAACTCGCCACTTACACATCCGTGTCCAACCCCGCGTTCTGATATGAAAGCCCAGATTCAGGTGTCCTCGTCCGATACAAAGTCCTTAGAGGCTTAGACGTTCTCGTCCGGTTACTGAGGTACCATTAAAAAATAGTGACCTCGGTGTAATGACGGGCATATATCTATAACAAAATATTATTTTTTAAATTAAACATTAAAAATAACTGTAAATCGTGTTAAATTAAAAATATAGTAAAATATAGTAAAAGGGAAGAAAGAAAAGGGGAAAAAAGAGAACACTTCCAAGTTCCAACCTCGGACACTGGAGTGGCGCGGGCCGTGGAGCCTGATATTTTACAGGGGCCTATACGTAAAATTGTTCTGGCTTCCCGTCCCCTCTCGTGTGTCGTCCCATCTGTTCTTCGGGAGGCGCAAGTGCGCAACAAAGGCACAAACCCCTCACCTCCCTCAAACCCTAGCCCTCGCGCCCCCTGCTTGCCCCCGTCGCCGCCACCATGGGCTCAGGTAATCGCGTTCCCTGCAATTCGTGCGCTTAGGTTTTCTTATATTCTCTATCCCTTGTTGTATTGCGGATAGTTTTTCCTGATCGTGGATGTTATGGTGATTAGATGCGGACATGGAGGATTATGGGTTCGAGTACTCGGACGAAGAGCCTGAGGAGCAGGACGTCGACATCGAGAACCAGTATTACAACTCCAAAGGTTGGAACTTCTTCTCCTTCGACTTGCGAGTCGGGTGATTTCTCAGAAAGTCAGAAACGAGCGCGACGGAACTATGCTAGTCACTTTTTTTTTTGTTGCACATCCGCATTCCCCGATGGATGGATACCACTTTTTTTGCTCTTGCCAATTTAGCTATGCCTCATTCCTTTGTTGGGGGAAAATTATTTTCTTTGGTGAGAAAAGATTAAGATGAGGAGGTTGAAGACATGCTTATAGCCTTATTATAGGGTCACAATTGTCGTTGGTGATATAAAGGAAAATTAATTAAGGGCGGATGCTGGGGTGTCGTATTCGCCCGTTTGTTGTTCGTTCGAGTTTTCTTTGTATGGTGGTACACAACTGCGACAAGGAGGCACTACCATTGTGTGCTAACTAGGCAAGCAGCCTGTGTGCTCTTTTAATGTTGATGTCTCTGTAGCTAACAATTAAAATTTGGCTCATGCAGAACTTTACTTCTATATACAACTAAAAAAAGCTACTGCACAGCAACACCAAATACATGACATGTGTTTTTGTTCGTTACCAAAAAAGCATTCTCCATGGGCATTTAGTCGGGCAGCTGGACTAGCACCTATGTGGGAAAAATTGGCTAGCCAGGCTCGTCGGCTGCCTAGGAGAACACTTCTAACGTGCTGTTTGGTTCCTTCCACAGTAACGCAAATGTAAATGGAATTAGTTCAAATCTATCTCCCACTGGTTTTTATTGACTTGGAGAAGGCTTATCATAAAATACCAATGAATGTTATATGGTGGGCTTTGGACAAACATAAAGTCCCAACGAAGTACGTCGGGCTCATTAAGGACATGTACAACAATGTTGTGACTAGTGTTCGAACAAGTGATGGAGACACGGATGACTTCCCGATTAGGATAGGACTACATCAAGGGTCAGCTTTGAGCCCTTGTCTGTTTGCCTTAGTGATGGATGAGGTCACAAGAGACATACAAAGGGACATCCCTTGGTGTATGCTTTTCGCGGACGATGTAGTGCTAGTTGATGAAAGCCGGATAGGAGTGAATCAGAAGCTGGAGGTATGGCGGGAGACTTTGGAGTCCAAAGGTTTTAGACTCAGTAGAACTAAAACTGAGTATATGAGATGTGACTTCGGCACTACTACTCGGGATGAGGAAGATATTAGTTTGGAAGGTTAAGTAGTGCCTAGGAAGGATACCTTTCGATATTTATGATCAATGCTACAGAGAGACGGGGACATTGATGAAGATGTTAGCCATAGAATCAAAGCAGGGTGGATGAAGTGGCGCCAAGCATCTGATGTCCTATGTGACAAAAGGGTACCATAGAAGCTAAAAGGCAAGTTTTATAGGACGACGATTAGACCTGCTATGTTGTATGGTGCAGAATGTTGGCCTACGAAAAGACGGCATGTTCAACAGATAAGCGCGGAAATGCGTATGTTGCGTTGGATTTGCGGTCATACAAGAAGGGATCGAGTTCGGAACGATGATATATGTGATGGATTAGGGGTAGCACCAATTGAAGAAAAGCTTGTCCAACACCGGTTGAGATGGTTTTGACATGTCCAACGGAGACCTCCAGAGGCACCGGTGCGTAGTGGAATCCTAAGCCAGGATAGTAACGTGAAGAGAGGCAGAGGAAGACTGAAGTTGACTTGGGTAGAGGCAATAAAAGGAGACTTGAAAGGATGGAATATACCCAAAGACTTAGCCTTAGATAGGAGTGCTTGGAAAATAGCTATTCACGTGCCTGAATCTTGATGGCTTCTGCTGGGTTTCAACTCTAGCCTACGCCAACTTGTTTGGGACTTAAAGGCTTTGTTGTTGTTGTTGTCTATCTCCCACTGGTAACGTCAGTAGCTTTGTTTCATTTACATTTGCGTTACCACAGATACAACCAAACAACTCGTAAGTTCTAAGAGTCAGACCACATTTTAGACAATAGTAATAGCATGGCTTCATGCATATTTTGAAGCATGAAAAGGTAAGGAAGTCACCAACATAAATTTTCAGTGCTTTAGATAGTTCAGTCTGAGTCAGATTCTGTCACATGCTTCATGCCTTCATCTCATTGTTTTGGCATCTGATTTGAAACAGTATTCTTAATTTACGGGATGATTCTTGGACCTTTGACCCTTTCTGCTTCAAGGATTAATCTGTGACTGTCTGGCCTTCAATGTGAATGGCATGCCACTAATCTCACGAATTGCTTCTGTATGCAAGATTTACTTGACTATTTATCTCTGTTGTTACTTAGAGATATCTTTTTTCACGTAAATTGTTATATAGCTCTTCATGTCATATAGAGGTTTGTTAGTCATAACTTATATATTATATGAAGATTGTGGGAGTCAGAGCCCTAAATTCATATTTTCTGCAATCTGCAGTTTCTTGTAATTAATGAATTTAATCTACATCAGCATTTCCTCAAAACGTCTAACAGACTTGTTTTCTTTAGAAGTAAAATGTTAGTTATTACAGCTAGTGCTTCCTCTTTTAGTTCATGGAACAGTAGCTATTCTTTGATATGTGTGATTAGACTGAAGTATGCATAAATTGTGAGGTTAAAGGAATACAAAATGGTAAATGTTATTACTATATTTCGGCAGGTTTGGTCGAGACAGACCCGGAGGGTGCACTTGCTGGTTTTGATCAAGTAGTCAGTATGGAGCCTGAAAAGGCTGAATGGTAAGTGTATCAGAATTCAATCTATTTAACATTCTAATCTGTCTCATTTGCTTTTGCTGTTCCTGGGACAGTATAAATGGTAAAGTGTATTGATCATCCAATGTAAACCAAAACCCAATCTAATATAGGTGGTAAACTATTCTTATCATACTGAGATGGTTTGGATACTTATGTATGCAAACTGTCTTTCACTAGCCTTCTTCTTCTTCTTCTTTTTTTTTTTTTTTTTTTTTTTTTTTTTGCTTTGCTTTTGCTTTGGGCCTTTTCACGAAGTACAGGATCTAAGATGAGCCTTACAAAAGTACATGTTCTCAAATGCAGTTGACCAGGACATCTCTAATATAAATAATCTTGTGGGCCAAATTAATATTTATTGGTACAGAATGCTTTCGTGCTTCATGATTTGAGTGTCAGCAATTTTTCATGATGTAAATCTCAAGGACATATGTACTTCAATGATGTGAGCTGCTGTACTTAGCTGTGCAAATGTTACTGTTAGTATGTAAAATTTATTTACAACTGTGGTACTGGAATTGGGCTGGATTGGCTGATAGGACAGGATTGCATTAAGCTTGCTTTTAACTCGTGTTTATAAATTGACTTGGAGCAGACTTGGTTCAATTGGAGAAAAAATGTGGAAAAGGAAAGGAAGTCTAAAACATCAACTTGAAGTTGCTTAGGCTCCAGTGAAACCCTGAGGAAGTGAAGGATTTTTAGATTTGCTTGGTTGGCCAAATATCTGCTTAATTGTTTATTGATTGACTGCTTGATTGTGGTTCCCCTGTTTCAACATGTTCCATACTGGTTATGAACAAATCTTTGTCGAAACGTGTTTCATGAACATTACTGCATGTTGCACTGTGCTCTAAGTTTCTATTGGAAGTTAAAAGATTCAATTCCTCTAACCTGGGTACTTTATACTTATATATTATGATTCGACATTGTTTTTTCAGCCACTTTTTTTGTGTGAAGGCAAATGTCTTATTTATTATTCTACCATATTTTTTATCTTTGCACTTCTGACGCGTTACTCTGTAATTTTATCTTTATAGGGGATTTAAAGCTCTTAAACAAACTGTCAAGCTTTACTATAAGCTGGGGAAATACAAAGAAATGATGGATGCCTATAGAGAGATGTTAACATACATAAAATCTGCTGTCACTCGGAACTACAGCGAGAAATGTATAAACAACATAATGGATTTTGTTTCTGGATCAGCTAGTCAGAACTTTTCTCTTCTGCAAGAGTTCTACCAGACAACACTGAAAGTACTTGAAGAAGCGAAAAATGAGGTCAGATTTGTTGCATTACATGAGAAAAAAAAATTATGTGCTGAACGGTTCTTATACCTTTTTTATTTGCTGTACAGAGATTATGGTTCAAGACAAACTTGAAGCTTTGCAAAATTTGGTTTGATATGGGCGAATACGGTCGCATGAGCAAGGTCGTTGGATCACTTTTTTAGTCATAGTCTTTGATACAATAAGTTTGTCTGTAATATTAAACTGTATTATTAAATTACATTCTTACTGGCAGATATTGAAGGAGCTGCATAAATCTTGCCAAAGGGAAGATGGTTCTGATGATCAAAAGAAAGGCACACAGCTTTTGGAAGTCTATGCTATTGAAATCCAAATGTACACTGAAACAAAGAATAACAAAAAGCTTAAGGTAAGGCATCCTTGTTTGCCTATTTGCATGTGACTCTTTGTTGGGTAATATCTTAAGTTAAATTATCGTTGTGAATTGTGATGCCGTATGTTTCTGAAAAATCATTATTCTATTATTCTCCACTTTATTGTGGCTTTCAATTACTCCACCTGGTGTTTTCTTCCTGTGTATGTAAAGCCCTAGATGCAATTGCATACTAACTTCATATTTGTTGTCTTGTTTCATAAAAGGATATCTTCACTCTTAGCTTAAAAAGGGGCGTGATATATCTAGTACATTACTGTTGTAACTTGTAAGAATAATTGCCACATACTAATTGTATGCTTATGCTACCTGAAATTGAATGGAATTCTAAGTTCTATGTTAAATCTGGTAGAATATTTAGCTATCCACAGCTGAAATTGGATAGAGTACTGAGTTTACCTCAATTTGTGGGAGAATGTTTCGCTTCTTTATGATAGTAATATGTTCTGTACACCAGCATTCGTAGGATAAAAAGGACAATCTCTTCTTTTCTGCTTTTTATAGTCTTGGACCCTGAAGAGTGATAATTCTAGTTTCTACCCTATTGTTTTTTTCTGTCCTAGTATGTCATTTATTTATTTAGTGTTGTGTATTCAGTGCAAAAATCCTGCTTTACATTGTTGTTTGCTTGAAGTGCTTAATTTGAATCTGAAGTGAATTGCTGCTGCAGGAATTGTATCAAAGGGCTCTTTCCATCAAATCAGCGATACCTCACCCAAGAATCATGGGTATAATTCGTGAGTGTGGTGGGAAGATGCATATGGCTGAGAGGCAGTGGGCTGAGGCTGCGACTGATTTCTTTGAAGCTTTCAAGAACTACGATGAAGCAGGCAATCCACGGAGAATCCAATGCCTAAAGTACTTATACTTATTTAAATTTCAATAGTTATTTCTGACCTTAGTTCATAGGTACATAAGTTTTAGAACACTGATATACATATCAACAAATATATTTTTGTTTTTTTTTGCTGTGCATTAGGTATCTTGTCCTTGCCAATATGTTGATGGAATCTGAAGTGAATCCTTTTGATGGACAAGAGGCCAAGCCGTAAGACAATTGATGATCCCTGCATAAATCTTGTAGCTTGATTTCCCTCGCACCCTGAAAATTTGAATGCTTGCAGGTACAAGAATGATCCTGAAATCCTTGCAATGACAAACCTGATTGCAGCGTACCAGAAGAATGACATCATGGAATTTGAAAAGATCCTGAAGGTCAGCATCTACGTTTATATGCTCTTTTTGTTATTTCTTCAGAATTGTTTTAGCTCTTCATTTTCTATGTACTAATGAAGGGCGGGTCTGGTGCAAGCGGTAGAGTCTTACCGCCTGTGACCGGAAGGTCCCGGGTTCGAGTCGCGGTCTCCTCGCATTGCACAGGCGAGGGTAAGGCTTGCCACTGACACCCTTCCCCAGACCCCGCACAGAGTGGAGCTCTCTGCACTGGGTACGCCCTTTTATTTTCTATGTACTAATGCAAGTGTTATCAACTTTTTTATCTCAGAGTAATAGAAGAACAATAATGGATGATCATTTTATCCGTAACTATATTGAGGACTTATTGAAGAACATCAGAACCCAAGTGCTGCTCAAGCTTATTAAACCATATACTCGAATCAGGATACCATTCATTTCACAGGTAGATATTTACTCTTGCATGTCCACAACATTCAGAAAAATAACAACTGAGAATATTTAGTTGGATGGTTCTTACTGACCCTCCCGTATAAGTGTAAAAAATTCTCTGTTCTACCAGAAGTCATATAGATTAGATCATGTGGGCTTGGTATTATATTCCTTCACTGCAGCTAAATTGAAAACATGCTTGTTTGTTTCACTCATGTGGCACGATATGTTCGTCAGTCTTCACTATCCTGCAAGGCGCTTCAATCTTTCCTAAGCATGTCTTTTTACAGTGTCCAGTGGCAGGAATTATTCGACATTTAAGAACTAAGTTTACAGTGATCGATGGTACTAATTATCTGATCAATATCTGCATTTAGGAACTCAATTTCCCAGAGAAGGATGTCGAGCAGCTGTTGGTATCGCTCATCCTGGACAATCGTATCCAAGGCCACATAGATCAGGTCAACAAGCTACTAGAGCGTGGAGAAAGGTGTGTAGCCCCAACTTATTTTTCCCGTTACTTTAGTATACAATATTTTGTGCTCAGATTCAGATATTGATTTGTTTGGCTTCTTGCAGGTCCAAGGGGATGAGGAAGTACAATGCCATCGCCAAGTGGAATACTCAGCTGAAGTCCATTTACCAAACATTGTCCAACAGAGTTGGATGAGACGGATCATGGCTGCTGTATGCTTTGCACACCTAGAATTGTTGATAGCCTGTTTTGGGGATTTGAGGGCAACTGCAAAAGAACTGTCTGGCAACGCTTGCAGTAGAATCCTGGATCTGGGTAAAGTGAAATGTCCATGTAAGCGCTTGATCTGGTGTTTTGAGAGCGCAAGACATGACAGTGGTCGAAAGCCAGATGTCAAGAGGGGGAAACATATAACGATGCCCTTCTGCTTGTTTTTTGATTGCAGTTGCAGCGATGACGTCTTTACCTTCCAAATTTGCCTGCGCACGCTGAACCTGAATTGAACAAGTTTGGTTTAGGGCGTGTTTGGTTGGCGTCTGCACCACACCTCAGTTTTGGCGTGCGTTTGGTTCGTGTCCGCACTTGTGGCGCGACCACAGCTCTTGTTGCGCCACAACCTGCCAAAAGTCGGATGAGCGAATTGAGCACCACGCTTCTGGCATCGCCTCTGTTGCGGTGAGGACGCCAGCCAAACGCAAGTTTCAGGTTGAGAGTAGATGCGTTGGTGAAGTGGCGGGGCCTAAGTGTTAACGCATAGGGCAATCTTATTAGGCAGAGAGGGATGCATTCGTGTTTTACATCTGAACTAGTCCTCAAGCAGGATTACCTTTCCACATCAAATTTCAAAAATACAGGCCTTACTAGCGCCCGGACATCCGCGTCCGGATGCTGGTACTTGCTGCTCCATTCATCCACGTCCGTGTGCACGTAAGAGCCCACGCCCCCTCTCGCCTACTCTTTCGGACACCCGAGCCCCATCCTGCTTCTCTTCTCGCCAGCGTCCCTCCACTTTCGGCACGCGCATGCCGCGCGGGGACCGCTTGTCCCCTCCCCATCCGCTTCTGGCATAAGTTTCCCGCTGCCCCAAACGTCACAAGCATCGGGAAGAGGAGTACGGGCAGCATATCTAGCCGATGCCCGAAGGAGAAGACACCGAGGTGAGGCAACAAAATATCAACGAGGGAGATACAACACTCGATTTACTTTTGAAATGTCGAGATGCAACACTTGCAACATACGTCTAAAAGGTAGGTGAAACACTTGAAACATGCTTCTGAAACAGTTGCAAAAAATACCTGGAAAACACTTAAAAACCATTGCAAAACATATGCAATATCCAGATAAAACACTTACAACATATATGTGAAACGTATGCAACATCCAGATAAAACATACTTGCAACATACATTTGAAAAGCACAGGTGAAATAATGGAAACAGACATTTGCAACATATGTGTACAACTATTGCAACATATGCAACATCTCGATCTACTTTTGCAACATCCGTATGAAATAATTGCAACATACCTATAAAACACCTGAAACACATGAAATATACGCTTGCAACATGCGTTTTCAGCACATCGCAACATCTCCTTGCTGCTTAGGAGAATGGAGGCTCGTTAGCGTGTGGAGATCGCCGGAGGTAGCGGGCCGATGGTAGGGAGGCAGAGGGCAACTGGGGCTCAGAGGCGGCCGTGCACCGCGCCTAGCAGGTAGGGCCGGCAGTTCGGTGGCCGAGCACCGCGTCGCCGCTCGGAGGGGGTCACGCACCACTCCTGGCAGGCAGGGCCGCCAGTCCAGTGGCCAAGCGTTGCTCCTCGGAAGCAGCAGGCGAGCAGATAGAAGCGACGAGCGGATAGGCGCAACGAGCGGATAAGAGCGACGAGCTGTTTTTTGAAATTAGAAACGGACGAGGCGATTTGAAGAGGTCGTTGGGCCGGTCTACTGTGCATCCGAGGGCCGCGCCCGGACGTCGCAGGGACGGACGGACGTCCCGATCCCAGCATTATCCAAAAAGGTTCTCCGTAACAAACACCGGCAGCTAACTAGCTAGCAGGCGGGGTAATTACTGCAACCCGCCAAGCCCTGCAGAATCACCTTTGTGATTTATGTGGATCAGCTGCAATCGTTTCACGGGCCAGACGTACTCCTAGGCCCATAATAGCTCACTTTCGTCTGTAAGATACCGCCGCAAGCCAACGGTCCTTTCAACTCCACAGTAACCGAGGACTTCTACGCAATGACAGTCAGGGTGAAAAAAGTTCTCCTGAGCTCTCTCAACTATTGCGGTAGTCTAATTTACTTTCTTCAACTAAAAAAACAGATGTTTGTGCTACTCGAACTATTGAAACCGGCCAATTTTACCTCCCTGTGCGGTTTCAAAGTAGTTTTGGCTGATGTGATGCCACGTTAGCCATGAGAGAGGTTAGCTAGACTTTTGTGAAGATTAATTTTATAAAAAAAGTTGTAGAAATATTTTTTTTTCAAAAAATTATCCAAATATTTCAGCCCAAAGATTTTAGTGATAGGCGCCTCCAATACTGACAAGTCAATACCTTCCCTGTGAAAGAAGGCAAAGTCGAGAGGAAAGAGCTAGGTAAAGCCGTACCCAATAATCCATCAAAATAATCAAACATGATCTCCTGTTTATCTTCTTGTGTGGTGACCACCTGATCATCCTGTAGTAATTTAGGCACAAAATTCTTCTGCTTACGAAACCCGGCCCGTCGATGAAAGAGTGTTGTGTTTGCATCTCCTTTTTCAAATATCTGATGCGTGAACGAAGTTGAGCTGTTACTCTCTCCAACGAGGCCAACATAAGGCAGTGCTTCTTTAGTTCACCTTTCAGCCAACATTCCTCCCTAGTCAAGTTCCTATTATCCTGTACGTGCAATCACCAGCCGGTGAAGGATCTCATTTTTTTAATAATGGAACGAGGTTCCAGTTTCTACCATCTGGAGATGGTACACAGCTGAAAACATCTTAAACTCTAGATATGTCTTCAATTGATGAAAATAGCTGTCAATATAGGACTTGGGTACAATATATCTCAGACATGCCTTCTCTGCCCAACTGCATGATTGATGATGACGATATCATGATAAAGATATCTAACGAATTTATGAGCACAAAAACTAAAGTCATAATTCGATTTAGTGAAGCCGAAAAACAAATTCGACATAGGCATCAACCGGGAGAAAATTAGTGTGCTTTAAATTTCATTCAATCAGCAAAAAGCGCATGCTACTCTGAACTCTCCGCATAGGATGCAAACAAAAAAAAAGAAAAGGAATATAGTGTCCTAAAATCGGTGAATGCCAGCTTAATTACACTGGTCTTCTTCCTTCACCGATCGACCTGACGACCAGGGGCGGATCTACAGGGGGGGCTGCCGGGGCTCAAGCCCCCCCTACCCTGGCCACGCCATTGGAGCCCCCCCTTAGCCCCCCCATGGATTTTGCTGCCATTAGAGCCCCCAAGAAGGTGCTGCAGTGCTCCATATAGAGGTTAAAGATGAGTTTCTAGTTGAGGAATGTGTTAAATTGGTTTAGCTTTCTTTGGCTCAGCCCCCCCCTAAATATTTTTTCAAGATCCGCCACTGCTGACGACAATGTATATATGGTAAGCAACCCAATCCCGACCTCATGCACGGCAACAGGCCGAAACGAGGAGTCCGTTAGGGTTCGGCAGCACAACGGTTTCGGCAGTTTCTTGTTGCCGTAACCAAAACGACGTGGGCGTCGCCACGCTCGCGAGTGAGTGACCCAGCCAGAATTTTTCAGGTACGCCTGCCTACCTGCGTCACTCTCGTGCAGCTCCCCGCAACCATTTCTTGTTGCCTTTGCATGCTGAATTTCATCGAGAGGTATAAAAGCCCAAGACTGCCAAAGCCAGGAGCAGGCAGCCTCCACCGATATCGGCCATCAGCTAATCAGCTATATATAGCTCGCTGATCGATCGATGCCATGGATTCCAACAGTGTGCACATCCAGATGCCTACAGCAAGCCAAGAAGAACCCTCCTCTACTCAGGATGCTACGAAGAAGCCGCCACAGCAGACCGACGCCGCCGCCACGCGTGAAGCGCCGCCTGTGCGGCCGGCCCTGTCATGCGCTTCTTCGGACCTCCTGAAGCTCCTGCCGACGGGCACCGTGCTGGCATTCCAGGCGCTGGCGTCATCCTTCAGCAACCACGGCGTGTGCCACGAGGCGAACCGGTACCTGGTGCTGTTGCTCATCGGCGCCTGCACCGCCTCGTGCGTGTTCCTCTCCTTCACCGACAGCCTCGTCGGCCGCGACGGCAGGCTCTAACACGGCGCCGCCACCTTCCGGGGCTTCTACCCGTTCAACTACACGGGGACCCGCGAGGAGCGGGAGGCCACGTTCAAGGACCTCTCCCGGTTCCGGATCACGGCGCTGGACTTCGTGCACGCCTTCTTCTCGGCGCTCGTGTTCCTCGCCGTGGCCCTCGGCGACGCCAGCATCCAGGGGTGCCTGTTCCCGGACGCCGGCCCGGATGTGAGGGAGCTGCTGGTGAACCTGCCACTGGGGGCAGGCTTCCTGTCGAGCATGGTGTTCATGATCTTCCCCACCGCCAGGAAGAGCATCGGGTACACGGACATGACGCCCCAAACGCGCAGTGAAACGTCGTCGTCTCTCCACGCTAGCTTAATTAATTTGGAAGCAATATTAGTTGTACGTGCATTACTTGTAATTATTTATCGGCAGAATAGCCAAATTGATCCCTCATCTTTCATCTCAAGTCCAATTTAGCCCTTCAACTCTCAAAATGGCTAAACTATTCCCTCAACTTTCCCCTCAACTTTCGATTTTGGTTCAATTTCGTCCTTACGTTGATGTGGCACCACACGTAGGAAACCATGCACGCCCTCAATAAACCCTTGGGAGCATCGGTCAACGTTGGCATATCCATTGCCATTTCATCTGCATTATATGAGCATATCAAAAACTTGAACATGCCAATATATCCATATATTACAAAGCATGCACGATTAATTAAAAGGTCCTAAATATCCGTTACACAACATGATTAATTAATATCCTACCACAGCTGTTTGACTTGATCATTAATTTATTAAAGCCTTCATACAATATAGACAATCTCAAATAGCACTAAACAAACTAAACCTATAATGCACTTCAATAAAATAAGGATTTCGTGACCGATTTCAACTAAAACAAACAAAAATTCTTCGCCAGTTCTTTATCGATGGGCTTCTTCTACTTCTTCTTCATGCACAGGTGCACTCCCATTAGTCGCCTTGGCCGATTCTTGCACGTGCTTAACGTACTACTTCCTCCTAGTACCAACCTTCACATCTAGACATCCAGTACCATTCCGCTGAAATTAGAACACCTAATTAAGAACTTTAATTTAAATTATCATAAAAATAGATACAAACCATAAAAACATGGCCAAAAGAAAACTCACATTGCGATCCGGACACTTGTAGAAGATGTGGCTATGGTTCGGACACTGCTTCTTCACTCTCTACTCCAACACAATCTTCTTCCTACACTTGCGCACGCAATGATAGGGAGGTCCGACCTTAGTCGCTCACGAACCCCATGCGAGGCCGAGGACCCAGAAGCAATCGCCATCTACTCTATATTTATTTTAATTAACTACTATAAATTTCTCCATTTCTAAACCATGAAATGAGCTGTATACTAGCAAAGGAAGGTAGATAATCATTTTGATCAACTACTATAAGGTTTCTTCTTCTAGATATGCAAACTAAAGTTAGTTCGAGCTCAAATGGCGTATAAATAAAAAAAAATCCACCACTATTCCTAACCTAAAAAGCCTCATATTTCTCTAATTCTAAACCATGAAATGAGCTATATATACTAGCAATGAAAGGTGGATACTCATTTTGATCAACTACTATAACCTTTCTTCTTCTACATATGCAAACTATTAAGTGAGTTTGAGCTCAAATAGCGTATAGATTAAAAAAATCCACCATTATTTCCAATAAAAAAATACCACAAATTTATCTATTTCTAAACCATGAAATGAGCTTACTAGCAATTAAACATGACAGAATGAAGTTGCTAACCTTGAGAACCTCAGAATGGATGGAGGAATGAAGTCTTCACAAATCCCCCAAGCATGAGCTTCTTCCATGAGCAAGAACACATCACGAACAGAGAGCTTGAAATAGCTCGGGCTAGGGGAGGAAGAAACCCAGATATATGCATGGCCCTTTACTCCTGGTTGGTGGTGCAGTTCGGGACTAAAGGTCATCCTTTTGTCCCGGTTGGAGCCACCAACTGGGACTAAAGTCCCCTCCTGCAAAAGCCTGCGGCGCTAGCCGTTGGGTTGGCGATTTTAGTCTCGGTTGGTGGCTTCAACTCTGGCCAGGACTAAAGGTAAAAACTGAAGGTCTTTTTTCTACTAGTGACTCACCTATTTACCAAAGCCAATGCTAGCACATTTACTCACTAAGGCTGGCACCGTGGAGTTCCATGTCAGCACAAGGACGAATTTGGACAAAAAATTAAAGATGGAGGACTACTTTGGCCAATTTGAAAGTTGAGGGATTAAATTGAGCCTGAGACAAAACATGACAGACTAATTTGGCTATTCCACCTTATCTATCTATCTATCTACAGTACTCCTAATCCCCGTAGACCAGTTAAGTACTTGTGTTAAATTATTTTCTCAGAACAAAAATGTTGGTGGAATAAAACCTTCAAAGTTCAACTCCAATTGTATATGTGAAATATGATCAACTTAATTATTATTTGTGTGGCCCTTCATTTTTTGGGGGAATTTATTGTAGGGTCGAGATGGCGGGCTAGAGGGGGGGTGAATAGTCCTTTTCTAAAAAGTAAACGCTCCGGCTAACCGAAACAAATGCGGAATTAAAACTATCAGTCTAGCCAAGACTACACCCCTCTATCTATGTTCTCAAGCACCTTAAAAGATCCTAAACTAGCAACTAAGGTGCCGGGCTAGCTTGAGCTCACCTAACCAATTCAAGGAGCAAGGTCACACAAACCTATGCCACTAGTACTTCAAGCAACGGGGAAGCTCCTACACATGCTAGTAAGCAAAAGCACAAAGCCACCTAAGCTCACTGGTAATGCTCAATAACAAGGCTACGTAAGCCAAATTATAGAGCGCAAATTACTTAGCTACACAAACTAAGCAATGTGACTAACAAAATTACTCAAACCGAATTAGTCACGCAAGGAGCTACTTCTATGCTACACAAGCAAGACGGTAACTTGCAAACTACACAAGCTAACTAAAAACAAGAGCAACTCCACAAGCGCAATGTAAATGAAGTAAATACAAGCTTGTGTAACAAGGATGTAAACCAATGGGAAGACAAGTATGACACGGTGAGGTTTATCCCGAGGTTCACGTGCTTGCCAACACGCTAGTCCCTGTTGAGACAAGCTCCAAGATTGCCGTCGGTCCTCTTGCTTGTGGTGACCCGCAAGTCACACTCTCCCATGTGGAGTGCTTACCACAAGCTCTAGCACTAGACCTGGCTGGACCACTTGTCGCCCTTCGCGTCTCGCTCTACTAGAGTTGCTCTTCGTGGCTCCCGCGGAGTGAGCACAATCCCCCTCACAAACACTTCTCCGGAGCACCGCACAATCTTCTTTGCGTGCTTCGACGGAGACCACCACCAAGCCATCTAGCAGGTGGCAACCTCCAAGAGTAATAAGCACCACCGGCTTGTAACTCGATCACTAGTGCCATTCGATGCAATCTCTTAATGCAATCGCACTAGAATCACTCACTCGCAGTTGATTTGCACTCTTGCAAACACAAGTGAGTTAGAGGCTCTCCTACCAAGGGTGCTAAGCATGTGCCAAGGCTGGCCACACACTCCTTTTATAGCCCCAAGGGCTAAAAAAGCCGTTACCCCCTTCATCCTGATTTCTACGCACTGATCGGACTCGATGACCGGACTCACCCTAAAGTCCAGTCAAGAGTCCAGTCATTGAGATGCAGCCACATAGCCACACTGTTCGAAGATGACCATTGCTCGCCAACGGCTAGCTCCCGCACGTGCATACTCCTGACCGGACGCGCCTAGGTCCAGCGACCGGACGCGCCGAGGCTGAGTCCGGTCACCAGCGCGCCTCTACACAACTGATCGGACTCCCCTTTCTCCTATGACCGGACTCGACTCTCCCAGAGTCCGGCCACTTTCAGAGAGGTTTCAGAGAGCTCTTTTGTTGATCGGACACGTCAGGTCATCATTGATCGGACTCTCCGTGCGTCCGGTCGCTCCTGCATGCCTTAGAAACACAGACCGGACTCTCGACCGCACTCACTGACACTGACCGGATGTGTCCGGTTGCAGAGCTCGGTCACAGGCCTTTCATCGCTAAAACGGCTATAACTCTAAGCTCTGAAGTCCGATTTCATTGATCTTGGACATTTTGGAAAGCTTATTCATAGGGCTACACATCCCACTTGCATATTTGATCCAAAGCACAATGGATCAATGCAGAATTCCAATCCAAGAGCCATCACATAGTTCAGAGCACACCAAAAAACCTTTCTCTCTTCTCCAAGTTGATCCAATTCAACTCCAACAACTTCTCATTTGCAAATATACCAACACCACCAAGTGTACACCACCAAGTGCAAGTGTGTTAGCATTTTCCTAAACATTTTTCAAAGGATTAGTCACTCAATTCACCACGCCACTCGATCCTAGCAACGATGCAAAGTTAGATCACTCGAGTGGCACTAGATGACCGATATGTAAACAAGTTTGCCCCTCTTGATAGTACTGCCATTTATCCTAAACCTGGTCATAAACTTCTTTATACACCTATGACTGGTGAAATGAAATGCCCTATAGGTTATACCTTTACCTTGCGCATTCCATTCCATCTCCTCCGATGTTGATGCAACACATGCACCATCCTTGATCAACAAATGATATGATCCACTTCATATCATCACGTGACCTCGATAGTTCATCGATCTTGACCTCACTTGCTTTTCACCGTTGCCTTCGTCCATCGGCGCCAAGTCTTGCTCAAGCTTCACCGCCACGTGGTCCATCGCTCAAAAGCCTCCAACTTGCCCTTCACGCTTGCAACCGGTCCATCAAGCCAAGTCCTGTCTTGATCTTCTCCACCTTAGTCATGTGACTCCATGTCATGTCTCAGATGCAATAATGAGCTCTTTCATCACATGTGTGAGCCTTGCATCAAATCCAAGCCATTTCACCTCCATGACATGTGTTGCTCACACAAGTGTTCATGTGGACTAATCACCTGTGTATTTCACTTAAACACATATTAGTCCA